GGAGGGGTAATAGGGTGGGTAGGTGGGTAGTAACGGAAAAACCTTTTTTGGAGAGGGGGTGGGGTGGGTTGGTGAGGGTGGGAAAGGATGAGGAGGAGCTTTGGAAAATGTTTTCCCTTATCTTGATAAGAAAAACATTTTCCTCCAATTGGAGGAAAATGAATTGATAAGGAAAATATTTTCCAAAACATTTAATCCAACCAAACATGGGAAAATTGAAAAATATTTTTCGAAAAATGTTTTCCTTCGTACCAAACACACCCCTAATGTTATCTTCTCCAACACCAATACGAGGTAATGTATAAGATCTAACTCTATTTGAAATTAGGAGACAACGTGAAGTATTGTTCCTGCTTCCAACTTCCATCAGATTAGTTTAACCTATCTTTCATTCCAGCAGCAGCTCAAAGTATATATATAATTGCAGCAAGCAACTAATGTGATGTGTTAAATTAGGGGTATTTTTATCTTTATGAAAATCTAATCCACGTATAGGTAATACTTGGATGTTATTCCACCTTGTAGGTGGTATAAAATTATACTAAAATTGATGTACAAAGTAATACATATACTATATCAATTTTATTGAATTTGAAATATTCACAACCAAATAATGTATTAACTCAATACAAGGTTATACCAGGATTATAGAGTAATTCGGTTATATTTTTATCCGCCAACCAATTGACCCCTTAATTTAATATATTTTTTTATGTTCATGCGGTGTCTTCAAAGCAACGTTTTTCTTGCATTCCTTTATGCAGTGTTGCAGCATGCTAAATGCCTACACTGTCTCTTTTCATGACTTAATCATTCTTATCAAATTCAAGAACCTATGACGTCAAAAGTTTAGTGAATATCCAATTCAGTTGCTAGAGTTTGTTTTAAAGAATTATATGTCTCTTTTCCAAATTAGACGAGGAGAAAGGAGGATGTCTCTTCACTTTTGGCAGAGCGGCTCTAGAAAAGTTGTGGCCTAAAGTCAAACTTTAAAAAGAAAAAATCAAACATATTTTTATTTTTAACTCTATTTTGCCTAGCTTTTTGAGATGCAAAATTATTAACGACATGTATATAATTTATTTTAATTGTTCTTTTACATTTGACAATATAAATAACCCATTTATTCTTTTTTGAGATCATTATTTAATAAAATCCTCTTTTAGATTGTATTAAAGTTCCAATAATAATCTTTTTAAGTTGAGTAACCTTATTCTTATTGACATATTTGAATCCTAATATAATGGAAAAATAATAATTTACATCTATGAAGTGAAAACAAACAAAAAATGCAAAGCAAAGTTTCACTGCTTTAATTAGTTTTGATTGTTGTGCGTGCTTGAAAACTTGAGAAATGATAATGACAATGAATGTATAATTTACTAGCTGTGTTGGAGAAGAAGAAGAAAAAGTACAAGTTTTATTATGAAGAAAAGAGAAGAAACTATTAATGTCATACTTTAAATTAACCAACATTCATTATCAATCCTTGAGTAAACAGTTATTTATTCAGCTTCTATAAATATTTTATACTTTTTACCTTATATTATTCAATATTTTTTTTTAAAGAAAATCAAATATAGAAAACATAATATAAAAATGGGGCCTCCAAGAATTGGGGGCTAAAGACATGGCTTTAGCCGCTTGGCCTTCAGCCGGCCTTGACGCTTGGCCACGGGAATGCGTAATAATTATCCTTTTTTAAATAAAGCAAAATAATAGTGTCCGAATTTAACTTGACTATTCCATCAAGTACTTATTATATTCATTTAATATAATTATCAAGTATTGCTTCTAAAGCTTAGACAAATAAAAATAAAATCACTTAATATTTTTTTTTGTTTTATTAGGAATTGAACCCTATTCTCCTAAATTGAAATCTTCTTCATTAACTATTGTACCACAACCTTGTGTGCATGTCACAAAGTTAAATAGTGAATAAAATTTGATATTTAAATGGAACAAAAGTAGAAATTACAAATTTTGCAAATGTAAAACAAAAGAAGGATAGGATCACTTTGTCACTAAGCGGTCGTTTGGTATGAGGTATAAGAAGGTATAGCAGTGGTATAAAAATTTAATACCACCTTAATACTCTGTTTGGTTAGCAAACCAGGTATAAGTTATCCCGATGTTAATTTTAACACCGGGATAACTTATACCTTATAAAAGGTGGGGTAATTAACACCGGTGTAATTTATACATTCTTCTTAGAAATTATGCAATTGTCATTCTTAATACAATATACCAAACAATGAATAAACAACAATCCCAACATAACTAATCCCAACATAACTTATCCCAATATAACTTATACTGGCATAACTTATACCGATATAAATCATATTCCAACCAAACGACCCCTTAAATATCTAGTATCACTGATCCGATTAATTTGAATTCACGCCGAGTATGCTCAATAAGCGAGTGAAGTGCTCCATATTGAGAAGTTCTTCGATCCATTTCCATGACTCGAACTTGAAACTTCTAATTAATGGTGACGAAATCTCAATCGTGAAGCGACACCCACTTGTATTAACTATAGGTATTAAACGGGTGGGCCGGGACGGGCCGGGCCGGGTTGCTATTTTTTGGACCCGTACGGGTTACGGTCCGGGCCGGTTACGAGTTGGGTCTTAACGGGTTCGGGTTCATCCGGGTAAAAATTGAACCGTAAGGGTTACGGGTTAAGGGGGCCGGGCCGGGCCGGGTTTAGTGTATTTTTTAATTTTCTTTTTGTATTTTGTATAACTATTGTAAGTTATATTAATACAAAGTATTAACATAAAGAATACAAGGAAGATGGAAAAAAATTGCACTTATAAATTGCAAGAGCTACATTTATTTCAAAATTCAAACTTACAAATTGAAAGGTTTACATTTAACAACAAGTAAATTAACCAAAAAAGAGTAAATTCAAAGGTTTTGCATTGCCTAAGTAAGTTCTTCATAATCAATATGAACTGAGTGACCTTCTTCTGGAGTGTTAAATTCGGATGGGTTACCATGTGTTAATATATCTCCAAGTTCCTCGTCTTCTGGGCTATCAACATCTTACGTCCTTGATTTCTTCGTTCCGATCTAATCCAATCTCTGAAACATACTAAAACTTCCAAAGCATTGCTTTCCAATGAGTGACGGTGTCTCCAAGTTGTTGTCTTGCTTGGCTAAATGCACTCTCCGATGCAACAGTAGAAATTGGGACATTCAGCACGTCCCGAGCCATAGCGGAAAGAGCAGGAAATTGCTTTCCATTCTCATGCCACCATCTCAACGGTGAAAATTCCTTTGTGCGAGGCTCTTTTTGCTTCTGCAAGTAGAATTGAAGTTCATCAATGTTCCTGCTACTGGTTTGAGTGTTAGAAAATGTAGAAAAAAATATCAAAACTATCAAGGCCTTCTCCTCATCCACAGTAGCAGAAGTGCTACAGTGCATAGTGGGATTAACATTTCCTACAGTACGAGCAGCATCATCAATTACATTTGTATAATAATTATATAATTATTGTAAATAATCATTTAGCTTGTTCATAGAAACATATAAATCTGGAGTTTCAGTTGGTCCAATCTCCATATAAGTATATAAAACATTCATTAATTGGTGACAATCAGACATCTTAATAGAAGGATTTAAAACAGCACCAATTAAGTAAATCGGAGGAATTGGAAAGAAATATTTTTTGAATTTTGCTTGCATTTTTTCCACAACATCCTTATATTGTTTTTTCTTCATAAATTCAAAGAATAGAAAAGTAATTTCAGCTATATGTACTAAAGCCATAGTAATAGTAGGGTAATATGCTCCAGAAAACTCAACAATAGCTGTATAAAATTTATGTAAAAATTTAACAACAACATTAATGACCTCCCAAGTACTAGTTGTTAACATACGGTTTGGATCAGTACAATGCGCATTAGCAACTTCAGTTATTGGGAATCTATATTTGTAGCAACATTTTAAAAATATATATGTATAATTCCATCTAGTAACAATTTCTTCTGGCATGAATCTGGGTTTAAGGTTATACTTGACACACTTATTCTTAAATTCCTTTATTCTAGATTGTCTATTATTTCCTTGAATAACACCAACTGCTCTTCTAACATGAGTAATCTCAGTTGAAAATAAATCAAAGCCACTTTTAACAATTAAATTATAAACATGACATGCACACCTAACATGAAAAAAGAACTAAACGTAGCGAAAGCCTAAATAATAATAAATTAGCCACATGACAAGCAAGTCTGGGTGGTGTAGTCGGTTATCACGCTAGTCTCACACAATAGAGGTCCCCGGTTCGACCCGGGCTCAGACATCATTTTCATTTTTTAAGTCTTATATATTTCATCGTTTTAGGTTTCTCATTTTTTTTTCTGGTTAGGTTTCTCATCTATATTAAATATTTAAAAAAAACAACATTTTCAGTTCTCCAACTCTCAATCTGAGTGTCGACTGATTTTTTGTGAAAATGTACTGCTGCCCATTCTCACCTTCAAAACAGAGTCTTTATCCCTCAGCTCCTAAAAATCAACCAAAAGATTTGATTTTTGCTTCAAGAACATCATATTATGGGTGTTGTAATGCAAACAAAAGGGTGTCCAAAGATTTGGTTTTTACTTCAAAACTAAATGTTTATGGGTTTTCTAATGCAGCCAAAAGGGTGTCTATTTCACTAATTAGTTTGGGCAATGGTGATCGTTTGGTCAAAGTCAGGTGTGGATTGTCGCATAAGAATGATGAGTTTTATATAAGAAGAGGTGTGGAGATTGCTAAGAAAGCAGTTGGGCATACAAGTCCTAATCCTATGGTTGGGTGTGTAATTGTCAAGAATGGGGAAATTGTAGGTGAAGGTTTTCACCCAAAAGCTGGCCAGCCACATGCTGAGGTGAGTTCATTGCTTTGTTTGTTTATTTTTATATTTCTAATGAATGTTCTGTTGTTTTTCGTGTGGCTATTGTTTGATTTCATTCTTGAGTTGAGATTGCGAGCTTTTGACATTCAGTAATCAGTAATTGAAAGAACTGAAATGATGTCTGGGTGGTAGAAACTAATACTAGTTCAATTTCGTTGTTTGGGAGCATAATTGAAACGTTCCAACTACTGTTAGATTGCAAGTTGCGCAGTATATTGGCCTTTCTCAATTTCCTAGTGAATTTTCTAACGAGCAATAAGGTAAAAACAGAGAAAGATTGGACTAGATATTTGAGGAAACAGATATACTTAACCTGAATTAGAGTATTAAATTGTAAATTTATGTGACAGAAAAATATCATCCAAAGTTCAGTCTCACTCTTTGGAGTGGGAAGGGATCCTAACACTTTGTCTGTGCTGAGTTATCTATCAATTGAACCTCTTTTCTATGTAATTTCGGTTTGCTAGGACCGTGGATATTAAGTCTTCAAAACCGGAAGTTTTGCTAATTATCTAAATATATAAAGTGTAAATGTAGGTTTTTGCACTTCGAGATGCTGGTGATTTAGCAGAAAATGCAACAGCATATGTGACCTTGGAGCCATGTAATCATTATGGAAGAACTCCACCATGCACTGAGGCATTAATCAAGGCCAAAGTGAAAAAGGTGGTTGTCGGGATGGTGGATCCAAATCCTATCGTAGCTTCAACTGGTCTCAGTAGATTAAGAGATGCAGGAATTGAAGTGATTACAGGTGTTGAGGAAGAACTTTGCAGGAAGCTTAACGAAGCTTATATACATCAAATGCTGACTGGAAAGCCATTTGTCACACTCAGGTATTATTTTGATATTCCCACAATTGTTGTAACCTGCTACGCCATGATTCAGGACCACGTCATTCAGCGTGCTTATATCAGTTTCTCTATTACCAAATAATTAATCCGTAACAACAGGTACTCTCTCTCAGTTGATGGTGATTTCTCAAATCAGCTGGGCGCAGAAGTCATGGAGTCTGGTGGATACTACTCAAAGTTATTACAAGAATATGACGCAGTTATTGTTTCTTCCTTCTTGCTGTCGAAGAATTATTTTGTTCTTTCATCTAAAGAACCAGGAGCAAAGCAACCTCTTCAGATTGTATTAGCAAAGAGTTCAGATTCACTTCAACTCCCTGCTGTTACAGATGACACATCATCTAAAACTATAATCTTCAGTAATAAGGAGATTACTGTGAAGCTTGGAGCAAGTCAAAGAGGGATAGAGACAGTAGTTATGGATAGGATGAATTTAACAGCTATCCTTGAACACTGCAAGCGTCAAGGACTGTGTAGTGTGATGTTGGACTTGAGGGGAAACTCCACAGATTTTGAGGAAATCCTGCAAGAGGGTTTTGAACAAAATTTTTTTCAGAAGGTTATTGTGGAAGTGTTGCCAATTTTGGGTGGAAGTGGTAAAGAGGCTTTTAAGCACATGCAGCAAAACCGAAGGCTGAAGAACTTAACATCGAGGACTTTAGGCGAGAGTATTCTGCTGGAAGGATATTTCTAGGTGGATGAGTATTTTAGTGAACTTAAAATCTGGTGTTAGATTGTACAATGAGGGTGATCATACAAGAAATGTTCCAGTTATAAGAGAGAGTTAGACAGGCAGCGGCAACAAGTCTACAAGCATATCAAAATTACATTCCTGCCTCTGTCTCTGGACCAATTGCTACTTTTTTCATCTCTCGTCAAAACTAGGCTAAGAGGTCCAGAGTGAGATCAAATATTCTCTTGTCAATGTCGTAGAACTGGCTGTGCTTTGTACTAAAGTCTTGGCCCGTTCAAATTTTTGCTAGAAATCGTACCATATTAAGACAAGCATGTAATGTTGCTTTCGTTCTTGCATCTTCAATTGACAGTAAAGATGGCTGTGTGTTTTGGTCTTCACTTCCATTTGATTATCTGCTGCACTTGTCGATTGCTAATCTTGCTATTTAACTAATGGTGTCACAAATATTTGATCCAAGCACCATTTTTGGCGAGTTTATCAAGTATCAAATCGGGCATTTGAAAGCACCAATAAAAAAATACATTCCTCTATAATATTTACTGAAAGATCATGCCTTCATACACCTCCTGAGATGAGAAATTTTATTTGTTAAACAAGACACTAACACAGGCACAAACACCAGTGAAAAGGACAAAAGTACTTTGTTTTACAATTGCAATGACAATTCCTTCCTTGACTCAAATATTTGCGAACAGAATGGACAATGTTTGAGTTGAAGTTGAAAAAATAATTTGAAGTTGAAATAGAGAAGTGCTTGTGGATTTTCAAATAACCCAGAAAGTTGAGTTTAGTGCTTTCAATTTTAAAATTTATGTGATTCCATTTTCCAATTTTGCACTTGCTTTTTAGTTTTAGTGGTTCTTTGGCATTAAATATGTTTTCTCCAATGTTTTTTTAATGGTTTAATTTAGTGCTGCAGAGCCTCTTTTGGAAAAAGAATTGGCCTTTGTTATTGAGGGATTTGGTTTCTATAATAATTTTTAGTAGAAAATATCAGAATTTAGTGGGAAACTATTGGCATCAGCACTGCAAGATGATGGCTTTGCCCTTAAGAGACAAATTATCTACCTGCATTGGAAATTGGAATGACTGAAACCCCAAATTGAGAAGGAAAGGGATTAAGTGATGAAGTTTTGTTCTTATTAATTTACTATTTCTTTGTTTAATTTTTTTATTCTGTCCTATATAGCTATGACCTTCAGAAGTTATCAGGAACTGAATATTATGTTTGTTGTATTAACATAACAATGAAGGATTCAGTATTTGATTAATCAGTGTATACTGTACAATTAATGATACAGAGTGATAGTATCAGAGTTTCAGCTATAATACTTCTCTACTAGGGTGCTCAATGTTTGATTGTCTAATAATCTCTCTTGTTATACGGGAATCTTCTACCTAAAATGGAAAAATTATAGTTTATAGTGGATTTATTTCATTATAACAAGACAATGAAGATTCATCATCTGATTAATCAATTTATAGCTATTTTATTTCTCTTTTTTGGAAGTTAACATATTTTAGCTCTTATGCTACTTCTTAGAAGTGGAACGGTTGCTTTTCCTTTAGGGGGTAACATATAGACTTGGGGCATTTGCTTCTAGTCATGTGACCTATTCCAGTTTGAGAATCCATTTTTTTGGGTTTTCTTCTGGTCATATTGCTAGGTTGGAACAAGACATAACGATTGCAGTTCAATAAGTCTAATAAAGATATAAGATCATGTTTGACTCATATCTTTTTTTTTTTTTTTTTTTTGAAAAAGATCATATCTTTCTTTTCAATTCATTGTGTGTTATCATTGCATATCGTGGAGATCATGTTATCTGCGAAGGGGAAGCGGGGGATGGAGTTTACTTCATATGGGATGGAGAGGTATATCCGAGTGTTAATTTTTCTTTAGTTATACTGAATGTAAGTGAATATAAGTCGTGAGATTGAACTTTCTATTGTTCTCGTAATACTATTGTTTTAGCCAAGCTGATGATGAAAATCGTCCTGAACTCCAGCTGAAAAAACTTGATTATTTTGGTCATGGTGAGATGCTCTTTCTCATCTTCATATATTTTTTGCGTTTCTTGATTTTCTCTCAATCCCAAATTCAAGGAATTTGTAAATTGACTATCTGCCTTGTTATGGCCGCTACTAATAACTGTTTGCTGTATATATATTTTGTATGTCGCTTTAGAGTTCAGATTCAGTTACTATCCCTCTGTAGGTCTCTTTTTTGGCCTCTGTTAGTAGCACAGTGATGTTCTAGCACTTTTAGACTTCAATCTTAATGTTTGGGTAAATCAGAAGTGATAACAAGGTTCAGACGTTATGGCAGGTTTGACGAAATCTAGACAGCAAGCTGAGGTGATCGCATTGTCTAAGGTACTGCCTCTTTCCAACAATGCAACAGTTTTCTTTCTGTATTTACTTCGTGATGTCCAAAGCATTCTGCATCTAATGTTGTAGTTATGTTATTTTCTCTAAGGGCAGCTGACATGCTTTGTGCTGCTTCATGAGCATAATAATCTGCTCCAGCCCAAATCAATCTGGAATGCAGATAAAGAAAGAGATAAGTGCCCACTTGTGGAGCACATATTGCACTTGGATTCTATAGAAGTATGTTATTCATAACCTACTTTTTACTTGATATGTTGGCCATGAAGTTTCTGTATTGTTTCCTTCTCTCTATTTATTAAACTAAGTCAACTATGCCAATTTGCATCTTTCTTGAGCGGAGAGTCTATCGGAAACAGCCTTTCTACCTTTTCAAGGTAGGGGTAAGGTCTGTGTACAGACTGCTCTCCTTCGACCCCAGTGGTGGGGTTACACTGGGTTTGTTGTTCTTGTTGTAGTCAACTATGCCAATTTATGTACCTAAGTTAGCCCCCTATGACACTATGGCCTTTAATAAAATTTGGGAGTTCAATCTCCATCCTGTTTCTGGCTTTGGAACCCGTATGAATGATTCTCAACGCTTAAACTTTCTCTCCCCTTTCCTCCTCCTCTAGAATTGTGTCTGCACCTGTTAGGCATTAGCTAATGGTGTTAGCTAGTGAGTAGTTCGGATTTTAAAGGCAAATGGGTTTCCCTGCATGTTAGAAAGTAGAGACAATTGCTACTCTATCACCATGCGCTTGCAGATTGTTTGCCTTGGGATGGAATATTTCCTTTCTGAAGTTTTCATGTTTCATTGTATTCCCAGTTCAGTGTCCACCTACAAGTGAGGAATATTTGGGAATTCTAACAAAAATACTCTGTTGAAGGTGAACATTTCCCAAGGTATAACATTGCCAGATGCCCCCAAATTTGGGAAAGTGTTTGGAGGTCAGTTTCTTGGGCAGGTAAAATTGAAATGTTCTCTTTCTCCATGCCGTAGACCACCCACTTCTATTGGAGTTTAGCTTCATATGACTGAAGACCTCTGTGTGAATAACTATGCTTCATTCACTATGCTAATATGCAGGCATTGGCTGCAGCATCAAAAACTGTTGATTTTCTCAAGATTGTTCATAGTTTGCATGCCTACTTCCTTCTTGTTGGGGATCTTGACAGTCAGTAACTTCTCTTTATTATTTGATGCTTTAAGCACCTTTTTTTTAATTTTTTTTTTTACCTTTCTTGTGTTTAATGATGCATAACTGCTATGCTACATCGGAAATAAACAGCCAATTTAAGCTAATACTCATATCTTTTAATTCTTTTCGAATCATTGCCAAAGTGCACAGCTGTATGATTTGATGAAACGTTCGTATTTCTGTTTAAGATAATTCTCATATGCAGTCATTTTATGGGGTGTGGATGCAACAGTAATATTAAGTTTTTCAATTTTGCGTTGTTTAAGAGAACAATTGTATGCCTTTTAAATTTAAGGATTCATCTTGATGTCGAGGATTTACCCTCCCTATTAAATTAGAGAAATTTGGGCTAACCATTCATCTAGTGTTGTTTTGGAGAATCAGATATTCTTCCCTATTTATGGGAGGTGGATGTGCATGAAATATTTTTCGTTTGCTTGTGTTCATGTTCCAAGAGGTACAATGTGTGCACAATTGCGGGTTTGCATAATGCCGAACTAAAAAGAGAGATTTGTCTATGTTAGTAACCTTAACCTTTTTTAATAAGTAAAAGATAGACGTGTTATGACTTTCAGTTTGTCAGTATTCTTTAAAATTTGAACACCCTAAACATTTGGAGCAGAGGTTGAATTAAGACTGCTGAAGAAAAGAATCAACTCGCAATGATAAACCTCTTTAGTGCACTCAACAACTGTATAAAGTTTCTTATCCAGTTAAATCGTTTAGCCGGTTTTATTTTCCTTTCGCCACTTATATTATTTGCTAAGGTGGGGGTTAGAACCAAGAATGATTTCCCTGCTCCCAACCCCCAAAGAGAAGCCAATGAAAGAGGATGAGAGGTCCAGTTTGAGCTTTGTGGCTTTCTATTAACCCTCTGCAACTGAAGTTATTTGCTGCAAGGTTTTGGATAAGATGCCTGTTGGTGCATGTGAATGCTGTATTTGTTTCTGGTTGTGCTACTGTAGGCATGTTGAAGCAGTGCTGTATTGCACAAATTGGCTTTCACTTGAAGAGGCATCAGACTGGTAGTTGAGCCAGTGCACTGCCTTTGCCCAGTCATTAAGCCCCATAGCCAGCTGGTCCTGGGATGCTGGCTAGATATTTGACAAGCTGGCTAGGGGTGACAACTTTTGTAGATCCTTCCGGCCTACACCAACCACCCAATTCTTAACCTCTTTGCATACACCATATGGGAGCCCAAACTTCTTCTAAAATCGCAGAAGATGGCTTGATGGTGTTGAGGCCTAATTTTATCAACAAAAGTAAAAGGTGGGGTTTACTGGAGCTTCACAAGTTTCAAATAGCCCTATTCTGATTCTTGAAGTCTAACTTTCTACCACATTCTTCACCCATAGTTCTCTCTCCACGTTATTCTGTGAGGCACTTATATTTATTATCAATTGTCTTCGTACCGATATAGGTTAACATTATGGATTCTGTGTCATAGTTAGGGATTTCGGTAATTAGGGAAGTTTCCTTGGTTTAAATTTTCCTTATTTCAAATAGTCTACAATTTCCTTATTTCATGTAATCTAAACATACCTTTTTTTTTTGAGAAGGAAACATACCTTATCTCTAGTAGCCTAAACTCCTATTTAAGGAACTCTCAACAACTAATATCTTTACTTTCACATGGTATCAGACCTTTTACAATGTTGGTGAAGATTTTAGTAGCTTGGGCCTGGCGGAATGTGGAGAATGGGAGGCAACCCACTCCTACTTCAAGTTTGAGAATATGTGGTTGCAACAAGAGGGGTTCATTGATATGGTGAAAGGGTGGTGGCAGAACTACACTATAGGTGGCAGCCCTGATTTTATTCTCATTCAGAAGTTGAGAAACTTGAAAAAAGACATCTCTAACTGGAATAAAGAAGTTTATGGCAAGCTGGAAGTAAGAAGAAGCAAGGCTCTTGAGGAACTTGCAGCTTTAGAACAGGCTACAGAAGGCAGAATTCCAATGCAGGCTGAAAAGCAGAAGATTTTGAGTTTGCAAGTGGAGCTGGAGGAACTGGCCAAAGCTGCAGAAACATCATGGAGACAAAAGTCAAGATGCCAATGGTTGAAAGAGGGGGACAGGAACACTAAATATTTCCATTCCATAGCCAACTCACACAGAAGAGTCAACAATATTGACAAGCTCAAAGTGAATGATGAAATAACAGAAGACAAAACACAGATTAAAGAGGAGATCTTGAACTTCTACCAGAATTTGTATACAGAAAACGAAGTGTGGAGACCTACTGCCAATTTTGATGAAGTAGCTAGACTAGCAGAAGAGGACAGGGAGTTGTTAGAGAAAGCTTTTGACGAAGAAGAAGTGCATGAAACCATTAATTCATGTTCCTCAGATAAGGCTCCAGGACCAGATGGTTTCACTATGGCTTTCTTTCAAAGAACATGGGAGTTTATCAAGCCAGAAGTGATGGGGGCACTCAATCACTTTCATCAGCAATGCTATATGGTGAGATCATGTAATGCCTCCTTTATTGCCTTATTCCAAAAAAGAAAGGGGCTATTGAACTTAGAGACTTAAGACCAATAAGTCTGATTGGTAGTGTCTATAAGATTGTGGCCAAGCTACTAGCAGAAAGATTGAAGAATGTTATTGGCAAACTAGTCTCCAGCCACCAAAATGCTTTCATTAAGCACAGGCAGATAACTGATGCTTCACTTATAGCCAATGAGGCTCTAGATTGGAGGCTTAAATCGGGGGAGCCTGGCATTATATGCAAACTCGATATTGAAAAAGCTTTTAGACAAGCTGAATTGGTCCTATCTACTTTCTTTTCTAAGGAGTATGGGTTTTGGTGACAATGGATAAGGTGGA